AGGGATGCAGTCCGTTGTCCCGCAAAGTGTCATGCACAGCCGTCCTAGCTTGTCCAGTAAGTACAGAAATTCTACTCGTACTAGTACCATTATCATTTTCAACAGCCTCAAGCACTTCTGCAGCATTGTTTCTTCGCCTAATTTCTCTTTCACAAATCGATTTAGGAAACACACCTCTTAATCGAAGAGTTGTGAAGACTCTACCGAAGATTTGCTTGTTTGGAAGACGGCGGTTTGGGTATCGTCGTTGATATTCCCTAACTGAGGCGGTGGTACTACCATTGCAATATCCTTACACGAAAACCATATCCGCATATTCTTCATGTGGATAAGTTGCAGGCATGATTTTAGCACAATTGATAACAATGTTGACAATTAATGACCTTAATGTCAACAATTTTATTCTAATATCAATTAAATGGCCAATTATTCAATTACCTAGCAGCATGTTATTTACTGTTTAGTATCTATCCATACGATCTGGTAACTTCAAATCTCGATATCTCAACAACCGTTTGGAATTCGAGAAAAGTGATTAGAATCATTTATGCTTAAAATTGATCATAGAATTCATATACGAAGTTTCTCGGATACCTCAGCGGACACCTGTATATGTCCATTTAGGTAAAATATTTCATGATTAAATGTATATAAAAATTCAGACTAGAACAACATAGTCAAAAATACCAAATACTTTAGGTAACTAAACTACACAACAACTAGACTTATCAACTAGCTTCCACGATGTAGTTTCTTTTTCTAAAAATTAGTTATATTACCTCAGTAAATAGATAAATTAACTATCATAAATTTGACTAATTAGAATTGTATATGTCAGCTAAATTACGTTAGGTAAAGGAATAAATTTTCTAGCAGAAATTACTATTTGCCTAACAACTAAATTGATGTAGTTCAATTTTCCATATCATTTTTCTCAGTGTAGTGACAGTGATAGGTAGCGCTAGTTAGCATAAAATATCACTATATTGCATATATTTATTGCACTAAAACTAGAACTAACACTAGACCTAGAAAGTATCGGGTTTAACCGTGCTTCTCCAGACGCACGGCTAAACCCGAATGTTTCTAGTTCTAGGTCTAATGTTAGTTCTAGTTTTGCACTAGCACTATTACTAGAATTAACACAAGACCTAGTACTAGAATCATTCAGGTTTAGCCGTCTTGAAAGACGTGCGGCTAAGTACGACTGTTTCTAGATCTAGGTCTAATGTTAGTTCTAGTGATAGTGGTAGGTGGCGCTAGTTAGCTAAACCCGAATTTTTCTAGTTCTAGGTCTAGTGTTAGTTCTAGTTTTACACTAGCACTATCACTCAAACTAACAAAAGACCTAGAACTATAATCATTCGGGTTTAGCCATACTGAAAGACATGCGGCGAAACCCGAATGTTTCTAGTTCTAGGTCTAGTGTTAGTTCTAGTGACAGTGCAAGTGTAAAACTAGAACTAACACTATAGAACTAGAATCATTCGGGTTTAGCCGTCTTTAGAGATGTGCGGCAAAACCCAAATGATTCTAGTTCTAGGAATAGTATTAGTTCTATATAGTAATAGTGCTAGTGTAAAACTAGAACTAACACTACATCTAAAATTAAGAAACATTCGGGTTTAGCCGTGCGTGTTCAGAAACTTTCTAGTTCTAGGTCTAATGTTAGTTCTAGTGATAGTGGTAGGTGGCGCTAGTTAGCTAAACCCGAATTTTTCTAGTTCTAGGTCTAGTGTTAGTTCTAGTTTTACACTAGCACTATCACTCAAACTAACAAAAGACCTAGAACTATAATCATTCGGGTTTANTCCTTTACCTCTAAACGATCTCCATTTAGTGTTATCTTAATCCTATCCTTTACTCTATTTCTAAGCCTTCGCGGACCAAATACAATAAGCTCGGTTTTGCTACTGTTAATTTGTAGTCCATGTCGCTGGGAATAATCCAATATCGATGACAAATCATTCTCAAGCCGACCACATAACTCATCCAACTCCGTTTCCTTACCCGATATATAAATCTGGGCGTCATCAGCATAATAGTGATATTTGGAGTATTTTAAGCAGTTTGATATGCTTCTAACATAAATAGAAAACAACAGTGGTGACAATATAGACCCCTGTGGACACCCAGAAGTAGATACCAGAAAATCTGACCTACTGCCACCTAGGCTCACGGCTTGCTCTCGCCCAGCAACATATTCACTAAGCAAATTGAATGCCTTAGGTCCAACCCCATTGTGATACAATATAGCAAAAAGCAGCTGATGATCGATCATATCAAAGGCTTTACTGTAGTCTATAAGACATAGGATAGTTATATTATTGTCATCTGCAGCCTTCAAAATATCATCCACTACACACAAAAGTGCTGTAGTGCAGCTAAACCCCGATCTAAAACCCGACTTTACTTGAGACAAAATATCCTCACACGAAACAAACTGATTCATTTGTTGCCACAACAGTTTTTCACACACCTTAGCAAAAACAGGGAGAATGCTGATTCGGTCGTTGTATTTTTTTGGTACAGGTATTACCAACGACCTTTTCCAATCGATAAGAAATTTCCCATCAACAATACATGTATTTATAATATTTACTAGCTGCGGCAAAATATGAGGACAACACATTTTCACAGCCTTTGTATTCAGCCCGTCCCAGCCGGTAGCGGTCGACTTAATCGAGTTAATCGTCATCATCACCTGGTCTTCAGACACCAATTGAAACTTAAAAACATTCAAGAGACGTTGACAGCTCATATAGTATCTGTAGGTGTTAGCATAGAAAATATTTATATTATACTTATACAGAAGCATTACTCCCTACTATGTTACCAATCAAATAGAATGCAGCGCCTCTCTGTGGATTGTGTTACAAGTAATTTTAAAAAACCGCGAAATTTAAATGTATATATGATGTATTCGTATATACTATCAGACTATTATGAAACTGGCAAAGGGCATTTTCGAAATAAATTTAAAAATGATGATTAATTATTTTCAAATTTAAAAGTAAAAATTCATCATCATTTCTATTTATTTAGAAAATAAACTTAACACATTTTCAAAATAATCACTGTAGTTATTAATTGTAATCCACATGTTGACTTTTTAACATGATTGATAAATAAAACACAATGGTACATTACACAAATTTATTTTTTTCTTTTTAAAAAATAGCGATTTGCTTCCACAACTACAATATTCTTAGAGCTTACTTTGGTAATTTCACCTTTTAAAATATGGTTTACTCGTTTACAAAAATTAAACAAAATTAATTTAATAAAGATATTTAAGATAAAATTAATAATATCTTCTCGGTGACAAATAAATGTAAAGTTTACATTATGTATAATTAAATGTTTAATATATTTTAAAACATGATTTCTTTGAAAGTCATTATCCAACACATGATTAATTATGCTATAAGCATTTCTCATCGCTTTCAAAAAAGTTGGAACACAAAATGTTAATTTACAATTTTCATACTGCTTGTGAGTAATAAAAACATTATCCTTACTTGCCCTATTTGGATTTTTATCGATAATATGGGATATGCAGAATTTGCACCTAAATTTACTACATGTTTTCCGCGCTACATAACCAGCTACGTAATTAAAAACAATTGTTTGGATGTTATTTAAATTAGTATCTATAGGAGGAAGCTGCCAATCTCCCTCCTCAAATAAATCACCTCCCTTACAACTATTTAAAAAAATTGGGGGTTTTAATAAAATGGAACTATAATCACTTTCACAATTTCCTCCTAATACATCGGGGGTAAACATTTTCCTCACAAGAAGTGACTTAAAGGATTCTCCAAACCCCTGACACGTTGGATTAATGTTCCTCCCCCTCATCGGCCGTATCTGCCCAAACAGATTTTCCAGTGGGTCTTGGTTTAATTGCCTGGGTATCATATAATTTATTGTTTTTTTCTCAAGTGCATCCCAAACAGCTAACATGCCTTTTAAGGTAATGTTAGGTAAATGTTAGAAAAACATCACTCTTTAAATTTTTTAGACCTCCAAATTACCAAAAACCTTAACAAAAATAAACTCGATTTTAAAATTTATTGCAAACCAACCAACCAATTTATTGCAACTTTCACCTGCCTTCAGCATAAAGAAGCCGCCTTTAGATTTTACTTTAATAGACTTTTTAATGTGCCTCTTGATGATAGTAATTATAAAAACGAACTTATGAGAATAATTAAAATAGGTCTTAACAATGGTTATAATTTAAACGATATACAAAATTTTTATAATAAGGTACATAAATCTTTAATTAACAAAATGATCTATCCTCACCATAAGTTACATAAACATTACATTACTGTCCCCTTTGAACCTTTACTTCAATTTAAATTTAAAAATAACCTTGAACAATATAACATAATCCATGCTTTTACTTCCGGTATAAAACTCGGACAATTAATAAATAATACTAAACATAAATTTGGAATTGACGAATCGAGCGGAGTGTATCGAATAAACTGTGGTGACTGCGATAGGTATTACATAGGACAAACCGGNACTGAAAATTTGACTACAATATGATACTTTCATTTTCTTCAGTTTATCCTCCATTACATGTTGTTCAGTGATTTTTCGTAAAGCACGAAGTTCACCGCTCATTACGTCTATATAATAAGCAATTTTGACGTGGCTCCAAACTGCGGTTATTGTCTCATTGTTTTTGTGCCATATCAATTTCTTTTTTAATAATTGATTCCAAATTCCCTTCAGAAGATGTGGTGGATCATATAAAACCACTACTCTTTTGTTGTTGACCCAAAAAACATGGGTCAACATGGGACATCATTATGTAACTGGTTTTTAGTGCCGTTTACTAGTAAATTTAGTGCTCCCTGATCAAGATGCTCCTTGATCACAGACAGTAGCAAGTATATCAAGGCCACATTCCTGCAACCGCTCCACTATATCCACTATCAGTTATCAAGAGCGTCGCTATTAACACCACCACTAGAGAACATGTAGGCTATTGGCTGTTTCCATTTTTTTACAATACCTTGTATCATAAATACAAGTGCCCTATCAGCAATTTTGTTGGACTTCTTATAGCCAAGATTTTCCAAACCAACAAAAGCATCTGCTCTTGTATTATAGCTGATATTGGCATCTAAAAAAACCTCATCAAACATTAATATTGATACTCGTTCTTGTACTTTAATTTTTATAACAGTAGATTCCAAATTTTTAAATACTGCATCGTTTAATCCTGTTTCAATTGGTATCGACTGGAGTAGTTTGGTGATGGTGTCTCGTGATGGCAAGGAAAAAAAGGCACTCAAGAAGTCAGGTAGAAGCTAAAAAAGCTTCTACCTGACTGTTTGTACAATGACAGGCAAAACAACTTCTCCTCAATAGTGTATCGTCGTCCTCTCGGTTTATATTTTGATAACCGTAATTGTGTTTTACAAAAATTTAATTGTAAGGGATTTAAACCCTCAAACGCCTTTAATGGATTGTTGTAAAACATTTCTTCTGCTTTGCGCAAGCGTTGTTTTAAATTTAAATTTCGGTTAAGAATAGCAAAATTTTGTCGTTTTAAGTTTTTCAAAGTCACCAATAACTTTGCATCACCATAATGTTGCTTTCTAGATAAAAGTGGGCGGCCCACTGTAACAATAAAAACATAGGTAAAGTAAAAAAAAATCTTTTGTAGTAAAATTCATTTATTCCAATAATGTTATTAATGTATAATATAATTGATAGGAAATATGTAAAATGATTTAAAGAAAGGATATATCTAATACAAGTACATAATTGTTCTATTTCAATAATTAAATTCAATTGTGATAAAAATTGATAGAAAAATATATACAAATTGATTAATTGAAATAGAATAAAAACGTTAATGCAATACATAAAAAAAGATAGAGCTGTCTTATAATTTACTTCAGACATGTTAAACAAGCGGCCCCAACTTAACAAAATAAATTATGTAGCCCGTAATATCATATGAGTTTGACATGCCTGATTTACTTACTTATCTTGCGTCTTTTATTCTGAGGTTTAACCTCCTGGATTTTGTTTTCAAGTGACATGGGTTCAGCTGTACATATTTCTACAACAATATAAACAGGTATAAGCAAATGGTTTAACACATATATGTAATGAAATATGAATTACCTGAAATATTTTTGGTACCTGTTGACATAGGTAATGAAATTAGCGGTGAAAAGCTGCTAGTTGATGGTGCTGCAAATTAAGCAAAATAAAATATTAAAACTATTTAATGAAAGACACCTAATGGAATATACTATTATGTATCAAGGCGAAAATTGTAATTGTATTATTTCTTAATAAGTATTGCTTACCATGACAAAAAATATCATCTAATGGTTTTGGTAATCTTAACGATGGTATTGAATCTCTCGATATAAATTAATTTGCAGTAAAATCGCTATCCTGGAAATGTACATGACATACCCTGCGGTTACGAAATACTTTATCTGGATCCAATTCAAGTAGAGACTCAATGCCACAAACATTAATCCATTTCTTAAATCGTTCTGCTTGTTTATGAGGGTTTGGAAATCGATGTCTAGTAGACCTGACAAGCATTCCTTAATAGAACAGGGAACATAACCAGGCATTGTTCTAGAAATAAAACTGAAAAAAGCACAAAACCCTTTATTATTACTTTATTAATTAAATTACTGTATACACTGTTGGAAATAATTCACGAGCACACCCTATATAATCTGAACGCGTGAAGATAAATCCATAATATTTGCGGAGCACAAAGGTTTACTGTAGACGAGTTTATTCAGGGAGTTTCGAGTTGTTCCGTCGCGATATTGTTGACTGAGCCGCCCTTCCAAGTGGAACATTCCGTCGCTATGGAGACCGAAGTGGATGGAAAATACCGGTGGTTTTTAGTGTGGTGTGAGGGACCACATTGTTATCGTACTCTGTGCGCAATGGATGGGCGATCGCGTTACTTAAGCGAGTTTGAGCGAGGAATGTTTGCGGGTATGCACATTGAGGGTGTATCGTTCTGTGAAATTGCGCATCGTCTCGAGCGATCGTTATCGGCAGTGCAACGGGCATGGCGAGAATGGTCTGAGGTAGGACATAGGTACCTTCAGCCGCGGCCGGGACGACCCTGCGCGTCCCCAGCACACGAGGATCGCGCTCTTATGCTCAGCGCTTTAGCGTCGTGTGTGTCTTCCTCAAGGCAACTTGGAGCTGTTTGGCCATCGGCAAAGGAAGGCGCATTCACTACACGAGCTGTACGGTGCCGTTTGGTAAGTAGTGGATTGCGCGCGCGTCGTGCGATGCAGCGGATTCCAGTAACACTCCAGCACCGCAGCATACGTCACGAGTGGGTCGACGCTAGCCGTTAGTAGGTTGCCGAGTAGAGGGACATTTTGTTTTCCGACGAATCAAGATTCGAATTGAGCACCGGTGATGCGCGAATTTTAGTTCGTCGGACCCGTGGTGATCGTCTACTCGAGCAGTGTGTGCAAGAGCGCCCTATCCACCGACAACCGAGCATTATGGTATGGGGTGCGATTACATATGGTGGACGTACACGTCTGCTGCGTGTATAGCAGACCATGACGGGTCAACGATACGTAGATGAGGTGCTACGGTCCGTTGTGCTTCCCTACGTTCGGCGGCTCCCAGGTTTGCTACATGCACGACAACGTACGACAGCACATCGGGCGTGTTGTACAGATCTTTGGGGAAGAGCACCGTATAAGAATGCTTCCAGGGCTAGCTCGGTTTCCGCATCTGAATCCGATCGAACATGTTTGGGACATGACTAGTCGGAGACTTCTACGTTATCCGGCTTCCTCGGCTAACGTTGAGGAGCTATGGAGGCGAGTTGAGGTGGCATGGTTGGCCATCCCACTCGCTACAATACATCGACTTATAGACTCCATGCCACGTCGTGTAGCGATGGTACGCGAAGCTCACGGGGGAAACTCTCGCTATTGATGTTTCTCCTCCCAGCAGAGTTGTGCCGCTCTCCATGTGAGAGTAAGTTACACCACTTTAGTACTACTTCCATACCAAATTTTGTTGCGCTAGACACACGCGTTCAGATTATACAGGGCGTGCTCGTGAATTATTTCCAACAGTGTATTACCTTTCCGCATTGTAAAATATAGAATAAAAATGTCAATTAATCACTAAACTATACAATACGGAACGGAACACTTAACTAAACGATACACTAAACTAAACGAAACGAGCACTAAAAACTATACAATACACTAAACGCACTAAACTAAAGTCAAATAAAATATATAAAATAACGCAAAAATCGGTGACAACAAAGCAAAAATGGCGCCTGTCAGTTAATGTACTTTGACTCTGTGTTGGTAACGTAGTTTGCAAGTTGCGTATGTAGCGCCATCTAGTCGATTGTGTTACCGACTAAAATTCCGTCTTTATTTTATACCTATAAGATATCACACCGTGGGTGTTAGGATGTACATGATGCACAGGAAGTGAAGCTTGTAAGAAATATTTATTGATATCATCGGGATTTTGTAAGTTCACCGGTAGTTAATTTTTTGTCCTTTGGATTACACCTAAATTATTCAAAGCTTTCCATGGATTTTTTATATTTTGGTTAAGGTGATGCTGGAAATATGCTTTTTTTCCTTACGAATTGATTGATTTACATAATTGCAGAGATCTTTGTAGTATTCATAATGCCCTTTAGTTTTTGTGTTTAAGAAACGTTTGTGCGCTTTATCACGTAAATCTTGCATTATTTTAATAATGTCAGTAATCCACAGATTTTATTTATTTGTAAACTTTTTCGTGACCATCGGAGCATGACACTGCATTACTTGTAAAATACTATTTGTCAAAAATGACGTTAAGTATATCAAAAATCTCAAAAACAGGAATCGCGTAAAGATCACTGCAAAATGATTGATAATCAAACTCTTTGTAGTTCCTGAACGTGCTTAATTGTAGACATTTAATGGTCACATCAATGTGTAGTGTACAGAATATTACTTCATGATCCGATAGCCCATCCGAAGATACAATACCTACATCGATTACTGATTCAGGGTCTGATATCATCATAATGTCAAGCAATGTTAATGATGACGATGTAACTCTTGTGGGGGTGGAAATTACTTGAGAAAGACTGAAGGCCTCCTTAAAATCCACTAAACTACGTGATGCACGAGTTTCTAATTGCAGACAATTGATATTTAAATCACCCAATGTAACCATTTTGGAGACCACTGGCAAAATTTCGCCGACTGTGCTCTCCAAAATATCACAACATTATTTATTTCTGCTACAAGAATACAAATAAATAATCTCTAAATTGGATTATGCGAACTCTTAGATTCTTGAAACGACGTTAAACTTTTTTTAATAATTTTGAATTGCAGGTTTGAGAAGAACTGATGTTGGAGTCCCAAATCAGCAATCAATCGGCCAGCAACCATCATACCCCAGTCAATCGGCCGTTTTTGTAGAGCAAAAAGGTTGTTCTTGGGGTTATACTAACCGCCTAGTCGCCTGCTCGAGTACGCAAGGTGGACAGTGGTTTCAAAACGGCCCCAATGCTGTAGCAGGTGGACCGCATTGCACTCAATGTTCCGGATGTCCGGTTGTTGTTCCACGTAGTTCTAGTCATCCCGGAAACTCTGTACCGGTAAAAAAGGCTGTCCTACGACATCGATTTTATTAATTAAATTTTTTTTATTTAGGTGCCTCAACCTTCAAGCAACCAAAGAAAACCAAGACCAGTCAGCCAACCAATTGGTTTGTTGATTCCCAACGGAGACAGTGGTCATTCTAGACAATTACCACTTCCGGAAATATCAGAGTTTTCACCGCAAGGAACTCAATATGCTTCAAGCAGTGGTAAGATTTTTGATTAATAAAAAGTGAATTTTGAAATGATTATTTCGATTTTTTTTGTAATTAGTTTTGGATGAAGTTAGTACCAAAGATGAAGAATGCCAAATTGGTGGTGGTTCGACAACATTAAAAACACGCAGTTTGCCTGCTTGGGTTCGTTCGAAACCGCGTCCATTATCAACGGAAGACGATCTAACCGATTTATACGCAAAAGTGAATTTTAGCAAAAAACGAAAGAATCGTATGCGAAACGATGAGGCGGCGATAATCGCATTAAGTAAGTCGCGAAGTCAATTTTTACACAAAGATACCGATTCTTTGGTTGACAACGAAGCCGTTATCGTTTACGACGAACGAACGGCGCTTTAAATACGATTTAATATAAAAAGAATAATACGTTTTAATGAAATATTAAAATATAAGAATTAAAAATCAAGATGTAATAAAGAAACTGTATATTTTTTGGCTGTTTTAAATCATCGATTGAAAACATATCGACGGCACCCAAAAAAGACTTTGATGAGACAAATAATTTTGGGCATTTTTTTGTTTGGGTGTTTTCATAAAGTAAGCACAAAAATGAAAATGATGAAATTAAAAAAATGTGGCCTAAAAGAATATTATTTAGATTTTTAAAAAATAAGCTTAAGGTGTGTGTATTCTTGTCTTGCACCCCTGCAATTTTGAAAGCTTTTGTTATTGAATTTAAACGTTTTTGATAGCGCAATATTTTCCTAAAATAGCTAGTTGTTATTCTGTGATAATTATTTAAGATTTTTTATTCTGAAATTGTTACGATTAAAGACTGGATTTATAAGTAAATTGAAATAATCTCCTTTATAATCATATGAACATGAATTTATAAATATTATGATGCAGTTATTAATGCGTATATACCACTGTTTAGAGTGTTATAATAAACGTTTTTTAGGCAATTTTATATAAATAAAAAAGGAAATAGATTGAATTCTTAAAAATTTTACGGTAATTATAGATTAATGTTTTTACTGTATCAAGAAAAGTAGATCTATTTTAATTTCGATTTAAATTTGTTAAGCATCTTAAATTTTTTTATGTGCTAGGTGATATTAAAACTTTTTTATCTAAAAATACTTTCTAAATTATTTTTGAGTTTTAGAATTTTGTCCAGTAATAATAGTGTAATTAAAATAAAGAATGTTAGAATTCCCAAAATGATTGTTTGATATAATATGTACTTATCATTGTTTATTCAGTATTGTAATTGGAGAAATTTACAATTATAGAATAGGTAGTATTGGTTGGCATTAATTTTATTAGAAATACGGCCATCTTTTATCCAACAGCAACATTAATCAAATTGGAGATCGCCATGATTTGCAACTACCATAAGTCCAGCTGTTCCAAAGCAGATATCGCTAGAAGGATAAAAAAGAAATCTCCAAATAAATTAAACCTACAACCTTTGTTTATAAATATACAGGGTGATTCACATAAGAACCGACACACAGCAGGGACATGTAGAGGACAATAAATGAAGATGATTTAATGCAACTTACCTCTATACTAAGTTGTATCCCTGAGGAGTTATAGGCCTTCAAAGTTGAGTGTTAAATTTTTAAAACATTCAATATATTCGTAATACAGTAAGCTAGAAATACCAAATTTGGTATACGTTATGAGTGTACCAAGGGTATTAATTGGTAGTAAATTGAGATCAATTGAGGCATTTCAAAGGGTTGATTATGGGTGATGGTACCCTAAATTTTGACAGACTTTTTTAACCGTTTGGCGGATTTAATACATTATTACCTCATTTCATGAGGGATTTAATTCTAAAATTTTTTTTACTGTTATTATTTTTTTAAAAACTTTGTCGTTTTCATAAAAAACTCAAATAACTAAAGACACGTATTTCGTTAATGTTACTTAAAATAAGCGAAAATTCAGTAGTCGGCTATGAAATTGTACGTCAAGCTTGACAAATAGGTTATAAAGCCTTGTCGTTTACGTAAAAAACTCAAACAACTAAACACCTTTTATCAATTTCTCTTTATCTTTTCTCTCAAGCATAAATTTATTCTTCGGCGAAAGTTGAAATCCACTCTTTCTAATAATTGATGATTATTCCTTATGCTATTACATTTTTCCGTAATGCGATGCCACAATTCTGCTTGTGACGCAACTGAAGAAGAATATACAGATTCTTTTAGCATTCCCCAAAGAAAATAATCACATTTATTTAAGTCTGGTGACCTCGGGGGCCAAACTAGTGGGCAATTATTTCCACGTCCTATCCATTTATTTGGATACTGGCGATTCAAAAAATCCCTCACAATAATATTAAAATGAGGCGGTGCTCCAACATGCATGAACCAGTGTTCCCGCCTGAGGTGCAGTGACACCTCGTCAAACAAATCTGGCAGAGTGTTTTGGAGAAATTCCAAATAATTTTCGCCATTTAATCTATTTGGTAAAATAACTGGACCAATTAGGTACCAGTCAATAATACCAATCCAAACATTTATTTTAAACTCGCGTTGGAAGTGACGTGGAACTAATAAATGTGGGTTTACATCAGAATATTGATGGTAATTATGTAAGTTTGTAATGCCTCTGCGGGTAAAACAAGCCTCGTCGGTGAAGAGAATTTTCTTTTGAAAATGAATATTTTCAGGTAAAATAAGTCGACAGAAAGTTACTCGCTTAAGTAAATCTTCAGGCAACAACTCCTGTACCTTTTGAATGTGATATGGGTGAAGTAGGTTGCCTATGAGAAGTCGGTGTATAGAACTTTGCGATGTGCCAGTTTGTCGGCGTAGATTTCTTGTACTTGTTCTTGGTTCACCTTCAACTATGTTTAAAACAAGTTCTTCGTCTTGGGCCGTAATCGCACTAACACCCTCCCGAGTATTACTGAAAAACTTGCCCGTTTCTCGAGCCCGTCTTTCAACATTGGAAAATGTTTCTCTATGGGGGATCAAGCGATTAGGATATCTTCTCCGATATTCTTCAACACTCCTTCTGCAGTTTCCTTCACAGAAACCTAGCACTAACAACATGTCCACTTGTTCGCTAAATGAAAATTTTCCGCACATTTTCAAAACAAACAGTAAGCAATAACTAAAAAATCAAATAACGCAAATAACTTTATAACCTATTTGTCAAGTTTGACGTACAATTTCATAGCCGACTACTGAATTTTCGTTTATTTTAAATAACATTAACGAAATACGTGTCTTTAGTTATTTGAGTTTTTTATGAAAACGACAAAGTGTTTTAAAAAATAATAAGAGTAAAAAAAGTTTTAGAATTAAATTCCACATGAAATAAGGTAATATTGTATTAAATCCGCCAAACGGTTAAAAAAGTCTGTCAAAATTTAGGGTACCATCACCCATAATTAACCATTAGAAATGCCTCAATTGATCTCAATTTACTACCAATTAATACCCTTGGTACACTCATAACGTATACCAAATTTGGTATTTCTAGCTTACTGTATTACGAATATATTGAATGTTTTAAAAATTTAACACTCAACTTTGAAGGCCTATAACTCCTCAGGGATACAACTTGGTATAGAGGTAAGTTGCGTTAAATCATCTTAATTCATTGTCCTCTACATGTCCTTGCTCTGTGTCGGTTCTTATGTGAATCATCCTGTATATAGTTATCCAAAGAATTTAGTTCGTGGTCATGATGCCTAGATGGCAGGGTGACTTATGTGTCGCCATTCATAAAAATTAAATTTTACTATACGCGCCCTAACATATTACTAACTTATTGCTACGAAAAACCTAAAATAAGCTGCATATATTTTAGTATTTCTTGCATAGAGAAAAATCGATAATATGTTCTTCAAGAATAATACCGAATTGTTGAGACTATTCGTCGGTAGGTACCGATTTGCAGACGCCAAATTTTTTAAGTAGGTGTATGAACTGGTTTTATAAGAGGACACCAACTGCATTGAATCTTTTTAAGAAATTTGTTTAAAAGACTATATTTCATATACTGACAAGGGAAGTATCAGAACTGTCCCTCACCGATTTTGTTGAAATTTGGTACAGCGATAGTATGGCCAAAAATAAGGTTTACGTATTTTTTTATACGTGCTAATAAAGCCCCTGGGGCGAGTTATAAGGGTTGGAAATCGGGGCGAAATATATATATTCGCTTATAGGCTGAAAACGAAAATAGCTATCGAAATGTGGTAAATGTAAACTGATATTCATTTTCAAAGAGCTTTCCATTGATATATCACACATATATCTGAGGGCTTCAGGGGGTAAACTACCCCTAGTTTTTTGGAATATTTTAAAAACTACCCTGTCGATTTTGGCGATATTATGTGTCCTTATAGTACGTTTAAAAATATTAATGACGTGTTTTTTCTTATTTGCCTCTGACCATCCCCTGCAAAGTTACGGGGTATGATAGATAACCCCTTTCCTTAAGAATAATGTGATAAACTGTTACACTGTTGAACAATATTTTGAAGAAAACCATTAATTAGATGTAAATTAAGATTTACGCAGTAAAATAAACCCTATACGACATTAAGGGGTGGCTGGGGTTAACTACCCTAACCACCCCAAAAATTATTTTTTTTTGCGAAAATTGTTTGTCGATTTTGGTGCAATTTACCACGATGATTTTTTTATACGTTAGGTAGTACTATTGTAAGAACTTACAAGGGTTAGAAGTTTGGGGTAGAAAATATATTTTCGCTAATAACTTTCATACTCCTACAGAAAAAGCTTTTTTATCCTTATTCTATTTAAATAACACAAAAGTTAGGATAATTATATAAATATTTATTAATAATGAGTTAAAAAGCAACTGAAAAAAAATGGTTAAGTATGACAAATTGTATTCTACATTGTTAATTTAGTTTTTTTTTAATTTATTTTTATTTAAAAGGGGTTTTGGGGGTTAAAACCGTGGAAAGCGTCCAGTCAGTGTCATCGACATCACATAGCTACACAATTCAACCCATCATATCTGCAAATGAAAAGCTACTTTCTCCTCTTTTCATTGTTTTAAAAGAATCCTCTGGTACGTTTGCGCCGAGGGTAATAAATACAATGTTCAAAGCAGATAACATATTCGTTTTGCCGTCAAAGTCTGGTAAACTGACTTCTGCTCATATGAACAATTGGCTACAAAATGTCTATTTCCCAAACACCGGACCCAAATCACTACTATTACTGGATTCTTGGAGTGGCCACTGCCCTGAAATTATTAGTGAAGTAACTCCATCGGATGTTAAGTTTAAATATTTGCCTATACCCACAGGGACAACATATTTTACAATTGCAATCCTTAACGCTTAACCAGTTGTCTTCCCCACGATTTATTAATGTTTTTAAATACGACTGGTTTGCATCTGGATATGTAGAGGAGACACCAGAACGGTTTGAAAATCCCGTGGAGGTTTGCTTTTCCAATGAAAAACCTACGTGCGATATCTGTGGAGATAAAGCTGTTATAACTTGTGCATGGTGTAAACAATCGTTGTGTTTAAAACATTTTTTCCATGATTTTCATTATTGCCAACAATATATAAAACAACAATATATAAAAGTCTCTCTAAAATTTTTCCAAAAACGATTAATTTTTGAGAAAGAAAATAGTAAAGCAAACACTGCTGTTTTTCTTACTATTATTATTATTTTGCAAATTAATTTTTGAATAAAGTTCTATCGCATTTACGCTCGTTCACTCGACGTTTCAAAATTTTAAATAAAACAATAATAAAGTAAGAAAACCACTGATATTTAAACGTCAAAAATATTTCTAACAAAGATTGCAAAGCCTACTAAGATTTTTTCATTAAAAATTCATTCCAACTTTCGATTAACAACCGATTAACTACAGCTTAACAGTTAGTGTTTGCTTAATTATTTTTTTTCTCAGAAATTATTAATTTTTAGAAGAACATCAGAGAGACAAAAAAGTTTTAAAATAGTTTTATCTATCTAACTGAAATTTTTCCAATGTATTTATCATCTTCATAAAAAAAAATCTAGGCATAAATTGAACGGGGGTGGTTACGTTTAGTAGTTTAGAAGGGTAGATTGAAAGTACAAATAGTATCAAAACGTGCCCTATTATGAGTTAAACATATTCCCTAAATTTCATTTTCCTAGCGTTTATGGTTTTTGAGAAAAAAAAATTAAACCAAAATTTTCCGCCATTTTTGGAGGGGC